GAATTGAGAATTTGGGAGTAAGAAAATTAGAGAATAAGAGAGAAGAGATGAGTTGATGAATTGTGAAAATTTTGGAGGAAAATATGAGGTATTTATAGGGAATTTGGGTGGGAAATGGGGTGGAAAACTAGCCGTTTATAGCTGTTGAAAAACGGCCAAAAACGGCTAGTTTTCCAACGGTAATTTGTGCCGGGCCGTGCCGGGCCGTGCCGGGCCGTGCCGGGCCGTGCCTTGCGGGCTCGTGCCGTGCCGTGCCACGTGTCGTGCCAGCGTGCCGGCCACCGTGTCGCCCGGCGTGCCACGTGCCGTGCCCGTGCCAAATCCCAGAAATTTGTTCACGGCACGGCCCACGGCCCACAGGTGGGCCGCCGTGCCGGCGACCGTGCAACACCCAAAATCATCTCATATTAGATTTTTAAAATAGCAGTCAAATGAATAATATAGGTCACTAGGTTAAAATTAAGATCATAACGTCATACTTAAAGTTTGCAACAATATTAAAAATCACACAAATTTTATTGAAGGTTATTATGTTAAAATTAAAGTTACTATGTTTAATATAAGGGTCACTATGTTTAATACAAAGCCAGTTGCAAATGTGAAGAACTTCGGGTTCACAATAATATTATTGTGAACCAGGTTCACACAAGTTTTTCTGTCAAAATTATTACAATTGTGCAAATTTTATAGTAAGTAGTTGATAGTATATATTGACAAAAAATGAAAAAAAAATAAAAAGATAAAGGGGATTTTTGGAGGGAAAAAAACAGTACCGGGAATTGACACGTGTCATTTCGGGTGTCTGTTTTAGTATTATATACTCCCTCTGTTTTTAAATACTTGCTCTACTTTCCTTTTTTGGCCGTTTTTAAATACTTGCTCAATTTCCTTATATGGAAAGTTTTTAATATTTAATTCATTTCTACCACCTAGTGGACCCAACAAATATCATATTTTATTCATTTTATATTCTCTCACCTCCAATTTCTCCACTACTTTTGTTTTTTACAATTTTTTTATTCTTCCACAAACTCCACTACTTCCATATTTTATTACTTTTTCCAATTTCTCCTAAAATTCTGTGCATGATGGAGCAAGTATTTAAAAACGGAGGGAGTATTGATTGATTGATTGATACGGAGTATTAGTTACGTATTTTTTTTTTCTAAGAGTTCTATTTTCTTTTTTAATATTGGATGTTTTATTTGTTTTTAGAATATTTTTGTTTAACATTTGGTACTCCTCCGTATTTTTTTAAGTGTTACATTTGACCGACTAGGGTTAATATTTTATTGAAAAGTAATGAATGTGTGAGGAAAGATATAGATTAGTAGTGGGTTTGGGTGGGGACCATGAAGGGAGAGATATATAATATTTTAATGTAGTTTTTTGCCAAAAATAAAACACGGTCGTATTCGAAATGTGTAACACTTATTAAAACACGGATGGAGTATGAAAAAATAAACAAATTTAGAAATTTTATTTAATCAAAACGTGCATCGCACAAAATTAATCTAGTTATCTACCATTTATATTGTAATCCCCCATATTTTTAATATATTTATTATTTATACAAATATTTTTATTTCGATTTTATAAGTATGAACTATTTTGATCTTATTATTAAACTAAACTATTAAGTTTTTGGTTGAAATCAAAATCCCCTTTTAAGTTTAGTAGCCCAATACTTAAATTCTACTCAAGCCCAAACAACAATCCTACTTACAAATTTTTACCTACACCCCACAGTAGGGAACACTACCTGCACACCCCCCCACACACACACACCCTCCACGCATGCCCCGCCCCGCCCCTTAAAAAAATTTAGAAAATTTTATTTGATCAAAACGTGCATCGCACGAGATTAATCTAGTTATCTACCATTTATATTCCCTTAAATTTTCCTTCTGTAATGTACTTTGGATGTAAATATTTCTATTTTTAAGTACGTACTTTGTATATAAATAATATGATATGAAAACAATCTCCAAGCCAATTAAAATTTATCAAATACTCCCTCCGTTTTTAAATACTTGCTTCACTTTCTTTTTGCGGCCGTTTTTAAATACTTGTTTTATTTCCTTATTTGGAAAGCTTTTATAATATTTAATTCATTTTTCTCAACTAGTAGGACCCAATTTTATTACTTTTTAGATTTTCTCTCCTCAAATTTACCTTCTACTAACCCCACTACCTCTATATTTTAATACTTTCTCCAATTTCTCCTAAAACTACGCGCATGGAGAAATGGAGAAAATATTTAAAAACGGAGGGAGTAAACAATAATTGCCTACAATTTGTTTGTACAATACATATTTTTAAAAAAAAAATAAATAATAGAACTAATAAAAAGGCATCGCATGGGCACTATATAGTTTCAAATAAGTACAATAAGTTTAAATACTACGTATGTGTTATGAGCTCTTATAAGTTCAATGAGTTTGATTAGGTGTGCAAAAATAAGGTATAAGAACTTTTAATAATACTATGTATAGAGTATAAGAAGTTTCAATCACATTCTAATAATGACTTGTTTTGTTCACTTTATTCTTGCTTATTTTAATCTAATTTGATTAGTATAATATGATTTTGGTTTGATCTGATTTGATTTTCTGATTTGATCAAATTTTAAATTCAGGTGTAACATAAAAATAATAAAGTGTGACAGAAATATTATTAAACATGACATAAGTTTTTATCAAATTTGATAACATTCAATTAGTTCCAATTAAGTTTGTAATGGTATAATAATTTAAGTTCAATTAAGATTGATCTTGTCTAAATTACAAGGTTAAATTATTTAAGTCTATGGTTTTAGATCCTTCTTGTATTAGACAAAATGGTTGCACATTGAATATAATAACAATAAATACGGTAAAAATAAGTTAATTTTAAGAAAATTTGCGATGAAGGTCCTTTTAAGTGGTCGACCTTGTGAGAAAGATCTTTTTCTAAAAAAAGGTGGCACAAAAGATCTATTTACTGGCATTGGGTTGTGGGGAGGGTTCTTTGACCAGCTTTGGCGTTGACCAAATTTTTCTGGCAAAAAAATCACGTGACCACTTAAATTACCTTTTTTCCCTTCCCTTTTTGCCCTCAATTTTCATTTTTTCCCCATTATTAAACCATAATTTCAAGTAACAGGAAGACCGCAATTACACCTCTTCGACTCACGTTGAAAGGCTTTGATTGGCGTTCAATTGTAATTTCAAGGATAAGAATTGAAGATTTGGGATTAATTTTGTTATGAAATTAGGGTTTCATAATTGGGGAAAGGGGGAAAATGAAAATTGAGGGAAAAGAGGGAAAGGGGAAGAAGAAAAAAAATACGTCGGAGTTTGGTCAAAGGACCCTCCCCGGCCCACAACCCAAATGCCGATTATGCCACCCTTTTCATAAAATGACCTTCCTCACAAAGTTAACCAATTAAAAGGATCATCCTTGCAAATTTTCTTCAATTTTAATACTTTGTATTAATTTTCCTCACAAAGGTAAAACCACGATTTTGTCTTGTAATATTGTTTGTAGGGTAACTTCTAATTTGTAATGATTTTTTTCTTTATTATTTTAATGATAGTTAATGGGTTTGATTGTATTTTAACATGTAATTTCAAATGGATACATATGAAGAGTAATATAAATTGATTTAATACTACCTACATAATAATTTTTTTTTTTTTTTTTTTTGAAAAGGTAAGAAGATATATTATTAGAAAGTCTTTATCAGAAAGGGAATTTATAAGTGTTAATAAAGGGTAAGAAGAAATTGATTTAATACTACCTACATAATAACTTTTGTAGTATAAGAATTTTTTTTTTTAGAATTGTAGTTTTACTAGTATACGAATAATACAGAGTATAAGAATAACTTATATATTTCTAGGGTAATTTAATATAAATTATAATATTGATCCTTATTCCTAATCCTATTAGAAATATACTTCCGATTGACTGAACTGAGCTGAACTGAACTGAACTGAACTGAGCTGAACTGAACTGAGCTGAACTGAACTGAACAAAACTTATTAATTAGTGATTTTTAACTATGAATTAGTGATCTTTGATTATTTATTGATTATTTATTACTATACATATGTGTATATACAAATATACATATTAAAATATTTACGAAAAATATACTATATAATTATAATTATAAAATGTATGGAAAATATATTATAAAATGTATGGAAAATATATTAAAAACTTGAAACCTCTAAACGTTTTAAACACATATACTATTTATTATTATTATTATTATTTATTGATTATTATTATTATTATTATTATTATTTATTGATTATTATTATTAGTATTATTATTTATTGATTATTATTGTTGTTATTATTATTATTATTATTATTATTGTTAATAATAATAATAATAATATTATTATTATTATTATTATTATTATTATTATTATTATTATTATTATTATTATTATTGTTTTTGTTGTTGTTGTCGTTGTAATAAGAGCTTAAAAGAATGAAATTTGGCTTTATATCATTAGCAATATCATTAGACATAAATTAAGAGCTGAGCTGAACTGAACTGAACTGAGCTGAACTGAACTGAACTGAATTTCAACGGAACAGAACAAGCCCTAAGAGATCAAAGGATTAAAAAAGTTTTTTTTTTGTTTTTTTTTGGTTAATAGGATTAAGAAAGTTTACATTTTTTTTTTGAGGGAAGAAAGAAAGTTTACATATGGTATAATGCTGTTTAGGTTATATTTTATATGCTATAAATAATTAAATATTAGTTGAGAGTATATTTGGTAATTAGTAGGCTATAAAAATGTTGGTCTCAAGAGCCTAATTAAGGTCTATTTTTTTTTTTCTTTGTACGTTCAATTTACATAATTGACGCACGATTCTTGTGAGTCTGTGAACCGATTTATTCGTCCATTTTTTTTTTTTTTTTTTTTTTTTTTTATTCTACTGACATTTGTCTGGAATTAATTAAAAGTTGAAATTGATTGAACTACAGGTTTGATTTGGATGGAAAGTAGTTTAGACTCTAAATTTTATGATGAAGAAGTTGACCTCATTGTTGCATCTTTGCTATCCTGTTTTTCTGGTTTGGATTATCTTGATCGATTGAATGGCGATGAAGTTAGACTTGCTGATATTTTTCCATCCAATAAGTATGTTCTTGTTTTTGGAGTGATGAGGCCTGTACATCTTATGTATAGCCTCCATGATGAGTTCTTTCCTCAAGACTTGGTGGCTTTATGTTCAGAATTGTACTACTTTCGACATGGCCTGTTGTCAGTTCTGAGGCCAAAGGTCCTGTTATACTTGGAGCAACTTGTCCTTTTGTCAATTCAATCAAAGTGTTGCCAGTATATTCTCAAGATATAATCAGCAAGGTTTCTGGAGCACAGGAATCACGCCCTATTCAAATTGGTCACTCTTTTGATATTATGTCCTTGTTGTCGGGTTTGAGCTACCTTGATCGGAATAATCTGGGCAACAAGGTTGTAGTTCAGGAGGAAACCTTTATCGGAAAATATATCATGCTTTGCTGTGTTCATGTGCCTATCTTTCTTGACTCCTCTGATTCAAGATGGATGCAGGAGCTAGTTAACATGTGTTTCGATCTGTATGCTACAAGAAATGATTTTGAGATGGTTGTGACTGTAAAGATGAGTTCCATGGCAGATTATGAGGTAGTTTTTAATCACTTCTTGTCCGCTTTACCCTCTTGTCTTGTGATACCATACAAGGAATCAATGCATCGCGACTTCATATGCAAGTATCTTGACTTGGTTGATTCTTGGTATATTAAATGTCTCATTTTGGATGCCGATGTCAACAGAAAGGTTTTATTTTATGGATTTCCTTACAGCTTTGTCCACCGTTGTGGAACTGATGCCTTTCCCTTTACTAAAGAAAAAATCTCGGAAGTAATTGACAAGGACAAAACTTCTACATTGAGTCTCGAAGGACTCTTGGGGTGCAATTCCTCTTATGTTCTTGAAGATTACAACAAGAAAAAGATTACCATCTCAGAACTTAACAAGAACGTTGTTGCATTCTACTTGTGCGTTGATGGAAGTTTTGCTTCAACTCTCCACGATATTCATCAACAATGTATAAAAGCTCAGCTGCCGTTTGAGATTGTGATGGTCTATGTGCCTTTTATCACCCGCCTTGACCCTCAGGTTCACAAGGATAAAATTGATAGATTGTTAAAGAAGAAGGGGATATCGATGTCATGGTGGCGCTTGCCCTTCAATATCAATGTTTGCCAAAAGTTTTGCCGACTTATGGGCTCTGATCGTGATGACTTTAAGGTCATGATAGTAGGACCTGATAATGAATATGTGGATAAGTATGCAGGGGAAATCCTGAAAGAATGCAATGTTGAGTGTTATCCGTTCACTAGGGAGGCCTTGCTCCAGAAGGAACTGAAGCAACTTGAAGAACTCACCTTGGAGTCGTTGTTGGTTACTGGGTCAACAAATTATGTTTATAAAGGCAACACGACGTTTCCTCTGTCTCGTCTCCAAGGAAAGAATGTCCTTGTTTATTATATGTCTGCTGAAGACCACGGTCCTGATTATTATCATTTAGTGTTAAAATGGTATCATGAGATTAAGGCAGATGTCGGTGATCTTGAAGTGGTGGTTGTTAGGTTAACTAATGTGTTATTTGAAAATTATGATGATCTCGAAGTAGCTGAATCCATGGAGCCTTTGTGTGTATGTCCCTATGATCCTGAGCCCTCAGAATTTTTAGTGAAAAGAATATTTATCAGGTATAACTATGACATTGCACCTGAAACCTTGCTTAAATTTGGATCAGATGGAAAGATTTGTTCTTTTCGAGCTCATAATCACCTTTATGATTGTGGATCCAAGGCTTTTCGAGAATTGGGCAGTCTTCATCTACGCCAAGATGTCATTACAGATTTGAAGGAATCCTAATGGTTCTGGGATATAAATTAATAATAAATACAATTATTCATTTCTTAGAATTATTAACTTAGCTCTTTAGTTTCATATTTATCGAAAAAAGTATGCTTTGCTTTCTTGTAAGTTTTATGCAATACCATTGAAGTAAACCGTGAACTTAGCTGGTGTCCTTAATGTGTTGAGTAAGCTTTTCCTACTTAATTAAGGATTGTTTCATTCAAAATCTGTTGTACATCATGGGGATGGCCCTATAATTATTAGCAATTAGACATATAATTATTTTCCGACAAGCATGAGCATAATATCAGTTTATTCAAATATTCAATATTGTATGGCCTTTGTTCAGTTCTTTGATCTAATCCCAAAATCATCCAACAATCCCTCCATTATCCATCAATCTATTAGCTTCTCTCTCTATGTCACTCTTCAAGATAAAGTACGCAACTTAAAAAGCAATGATCCTGCAGTATCTGGTCATTCAGCTGATCGAAACTGTACCTTAATAATGATAACACGCATTCTTATGGTCTGAAATCAATTCTTATTTCCTATGTTTACTCTGTAATTGTGTTAGTATACTTTGTCTCATCTTATGGACTGACTAACAATGGTGCTTCATCCACACTGATCTGTATATTACTCCGTATGACTCGGACTGGTGGGAGGTACAAAATCTTTGGGACTTCACCAGAGATGCAAGGTTCTTTCTCTTATGAAGACAATGATGCTAACCGTGTGGATGATTGATTCCGGTGAGACACATTGTAAAGTCAGGGTTTTCCTTTGTACATTTGAATGCTACATACTTAATCAAAATTCACTTGCCACAGTTCATAAAACTGATACCAATCTTTATCAGTAAAATTTCTTAAGTTTAGAGTTTGAAAAACTGATATCATAAACACCGAAAGCCATGGATGTTTACAAAAAGTATAGCAATTATTCATATTCAAGTCACACTAACCAAAGAATCAGGACATTACAATGACAGGAACCATCTACTTAGCTCTTTAATTTCATATTTACCGAAGGAATATGAATTAATAAATACAATTATTCATTTCTTAGAGTTATTAACTTAGCTCTTTAGTTTCATATTTATTGTCAAGTATGCTTTGCTTTCTTGTAAAGTTGTAAGTTTAGACAATTTAGACGCATTACAGAATAGGGTACTTAATTCAAACAATTTAGACTCTTATTTCTCGTATTAAACTCTAGTTAGACGAGAAATATGAGATCATTAACACGTGCCTGATAACTTAAAGGTTGAATACCTACCGAAAATATTCAAATCGGTAGATGGGAGGTACGATAATGAAATCCTTGACAATGAAAAGCATGAGCATTTTTGAGGCTTTTACTGCTCCGGTTCAGTAGTGAGATATCAAAATTACAATATACACTAATCGTAATTTCTACCAATAGACACTAGTTAAAGTGATATCACTAATCATAATAGAACGAATCAATCATCAATGGAGTCATAACTCAGTCATATAATATGACAGAAAATTGACAATTTTAATATCCCTATCCCTACTTGAAGGAATTATATTCTGTGTTTTTCTCATTGCTATTCATTGTGATTATATATACATTACAAGACTTATCTCAAGCCTACAATTAAGCCACTAATTAAGCTATAAGTTAGGATAAACTATGTACAGAATATCCTAGAGCAATAAACTAGGTAATTGAATATTTACAAAGTCAACTGACGATATATTAGGAGTAATATATCTTAACACACCCCCTTAGTCTTAGCGGGAGGAGGACGGACGCTTAGACTATCCCTGAAATCTTCAAAGAGTACACGTGGTAGTCCTTTCGTGAATATGTCCGCAATTTGGTGCCTTGAAGGAACATGGAGAACCCAAATCTCACCCCTAGCCACCTTTTCACGAACAAATAGGATGTCCATCTTAATATGCTTGGTACGCTGATGATGTACCGGATTATCCGAAAGGTAAATAGCGCTCACATTGTCACAATAAACCAATGTAGCCTTTTTAATCGGACAAAGTAACTCAAGTAATAAATTTCGAAGCCAACAAGACTCCGAAACAACATTTGCAACACCCCTGTACTCTGCCTCTGCACTAGACTTAGAAAGAGTAGCCTGGCGTTTGGATGACCAAGAGATCAAATTATCACCCAAATATACACAATATCTGGAGGTAGATCGTCTCGTATCGGGACACCCACCCCAATCAGCATTTGTATAGGATATAAGTGTAGAAATAGAAGAAGGATAAAGGTGCAAACCATGGTCAAGAGTACCCTGTACGTACCTAATTATCCGCTTAAGAGCAGACATGTGAATATCCTTCGGATCATGCATGTGTAAGCATACCTGTTGGACCGCATATGAGATATCCGACCTCGTAAAAGTGAGGTACTATAGAGCCCCTGCAAGGCTACGGTACAATGTGGGGTCGGCAAAAGGAGAACCAGAAGAGCTGTCCTTCGGTTTCACCTCAACGGGTGTAGCCGAGGACTTACATGAAGACATACTGGCTCGCTCAATAATCCCCTCCGCATACTTGCGTTGTGACAAAAATAATCCACCCTTATGTCTTGTCACGGCAATGCCAAGGAAATAATTAAGAGGACCCAAGTCCTTCATAGCAAACTCCGAGCTAAGAAGAGACATAATAGAACAACGCAGAGCATGAGAAGAAGCTGTAAGAATTATGTCATCAACATATAATAATAAATAAGCCGTATTTGACCCCTGTCGATAAATAAATAGAGAATTGTCACTTTTGCTATTAGTAAAACCAATAGAGGCAACAAAATCTGCAAACCTCCTGTACCATGCCCGAGGTGCCTGCTTAAGACCATATAATGACTTCCGCAATAAACAAACATAATCAGGGTGTGTCTTATCACAGAAACCAAGAGGTTGATGCATATAGACTGTCTCATTAAGCTCACCATGTAGAAAGGAATTCTTAACATCAAGTTGATGAATTGGCCAAGATTTAGACAAAGCCAAGCTAAGAACAGTGCGAATAGTAGCCGGTTTCACCACCAGACTGAAAGTCTCCTCACAATCAATGTCCACCTGTTGTATTTTCCCATCACCTACAAGACGGGCTTTATGCCTCTCAAAATCACTGTTGGATTTCACTTTATGAGTAAAAATCCACATAGAATGAATAACATTCACATTAGGCGGACGGGGCACAATCCCACGTCTTATTTTTAATAAGAGCATTATAATCATCATCCATTTCCATTTTCCAATTCGGGTCACGCAAAGCAGAAATTGGGTTACGAGGAAGAGGTGATTTCGTAACCGTGGACAGCATGGTATTGAAATTGTGATATTTCGGGTTGGGCTTGGTGATACCATTTCTATTACGAGTGACAATAGTTGGGTGAGGAGTGGGAATTGGAGTTGGTTGGGAAGAGGAAGAAGATGGGCTAGCTGGTTGGGTAGGTTGCAGCTGGGCCGTGGCTGACTGCGCAGGCCCACAGTCCTGCTGTGGCCTATTATGCCCAACAACAACATTTTTGGGAAGAGAGGGTGACGAAACTGGGATGCTGGGAGAAGCAGGTGGACGCGGCCCAGTCCGTGTAGGTGTAGAGGAGTGTGGGCTAGCCCGGTGAGGTGGAGAGAAATGTGGGCTAGCTGAGGCAGACCCATGTTGGGCCGAAAGAGGAGAAATAGAGTGTGGGCTAGCTGAGGTAGCCCCATGTTGGGACGAAAGAGGAGAAATGGGCTGCTCAGGCACGCCCATGTGATGAATCACATAAGAGTGTAAACCATCATCCAAAAAATCATATGTATGTGAAGTGGGTGTGTGTAATTTAGCAAAAGGAAAAATCGTTTCATCAAACACAACATGCCAGCTAATTATGATCCTATTAGAAGATAAGTCATAACATTTGTTACCTCTATGATTTGGTGGATACCCCAAGAAAACACATGGTGTGGAATGAGGTTGAAGCTTGTTGATTGTGGTGGACGGAATTAAGGGATAACACAAACACCCAAAAACACGTATATGAGAATAAGATGGTTCCTTTTGATAGAGAACTTGGAGAGGGGATTTGTACTCTAGTAATTTACACTAGTAGAAAAAACATTATGGGAAGCGGTTCATAACCCCAAATGGGAAGCGGTTTTGAACCACATGGATTTAGGGGGCTTCCCAATTGCCATGTAAATGGAAAGGGGTTCAGAACCGCTTCCCATTTGGGGGGAATGGCAAGCGGTTTGGCGCCAAAACTGCTTGCCATTTGCACTTCACATTAGATTATGTGCAGTGCAAATGGCAAGCGGTTTTGGCGCCAAACCGCTTCTCATTTGTATTTTTTTTATTTATTATTTTAATAATATATATAATAATTAATAATAATAATAATATTATTAGTGACCTGTTTTGATATGCACATTAATCCAGTTTTTTTAAAAATTATTATTATTAATTAATATTATTAATTAATATTAATAATTAATAATAATTAATTAAAAATATTACAAATTTTGGAATAATAATAGTTCAATAACAATAAAATGCATAATAATAATAACATATATAAAACTCATAAATAATGTATAGTACTAATTACAAATAAGTAATATAATGTACATATGGATTTACTACATACTAAAAATAAAAACTCAATCAAATTCATTATCTAACTAACACATATATATTATATATTCTACCTAGATGCCATCAAATGTCACAAAAAGCCCACATGTCGCGAATTTCATCAACTTCTTCCTTTGTCAAAGGGCCTTCCCTTTGAATCTTACAAACCTTTGAAAAGAAAAAAATACCAAACATTAAACATCATTCATATATTACATAAAATTCAAACTAATAATTAAAAAATAATAATATATATATGTTAAATATTTCAAACATCATTCTAACTTGCCCGATTTAGCATTCAACGAACTAAGTTTTAGGACGGCTTTTACCAATTTGCCCGTTTTCTACATTTCTTATCTAATGAGCTATTTATCTCTCATAAAATGTCAATTACAACTAGTCTTAGGTGTCTAATGTTTGAAATCATAGCAAATTAGCATTCTTCTAAGTTTTAGGACGGCTTTTACCAAAAATCGCCTATTTGACTTCTAACTTGCCCGATTTCTACATTTCTTATCTAATGAGCAATTTCTTTATCATAACATGAAAATTATAACTAGTCTTAGGTGTCTAATGTTTGAAATCATAGCAAATTAGCATTCTTCTAATTTTTAGGACGACTTTTACCAAAAATCGCCTATTTCACTACTACTTTGCCCGTTTTCTACATTTCTTATCTAATGAGCAATTTCTTTATCATAATATGTCAATTATAACTAGTCTTAGGTGTCTAATGTTTGAAATCATAGAAAATTAGCATTCTTCTAATTTTTAGGACGGCTTTTACCAAAAATCGCCTATTTCACTACTACTTTGCCCGTTTTCTACATTTCTTATCTAATGAGCTATTTATTTATCATAACATGTCAATGACAACTAGTATTAGGTGTCTAATGTTTTAAATCATAGCAAAAGATCATTTTACTCAGTTTTAGGACGGCCATTACCCAAAATCGCCTATTCCACTTCTACTTGCCCATTTTTTTACATTTTTTTCCGTTTGGAATTTTTTTTCACAAACATTGCCCATAATACACTAACAATGCAAGTACGTAAAAATTACACAAAATTGCATGAACAGCTCGGTTTCTTGAACAGATGTTGCCTAGGCTGCTGCAGGAGGAGGCAGCTGCAGCTGCCTTGGCAGCTGCCTGGTGGCTGCTGCAGCTGCCTTGACAGCTTCCTGGTGGCTGCTGCAGCTGCCTTGACAGCTTCCTGGTGGCTGCAGGAGCCTTTGCAGATGCCTGGTGGCTGCTGCAGCTGCCTGGCAGCTGTTGCAGTTTGGTGGCTGGCTGCTTGCAGCTGCCTGGCATAACCCGAGGCTGTTGCCTCGGGTGCTGTAGTTGCCTCGGGTGCTCACTTTTCCAATTTCTACATTTCTTACCTAATGATCAATTTCATTATCATAACATGTCAATTATAACTAGTCTTACGTGTCTAATGTTTGAAATCATTGCAAATTACCATTATACTAAGTTTTAGGACAACTTTTACCCGAAATCGCCTATTTCACTACTACTTTGCCCGGTTTCTTTATTTCTTATCTAATGAGCAATTTATTTATCATAACATGTCAATTATAACTAGTCTTAGGTGTCTAATGTTTGAAATCATAGGAAATTAACATTCTACTAAGTTTTAGGACGACTTTTACCCAAAATCGCCTAGTTCACTACTACTTTGCCCGATTTCTACATTTCTTATCTAATGAGAAATTTCTTTATCATAACATGTCACTTATAACTAGTCTTAGGTGTCTAATGTTTGAAATCATAGGAAATTAGCATTCTACTAAGTTTTAGGACGCCTTTTACCCAAAATCGCCTATTTCACTACTACTTTGCCCGATTTCTACATTTCTTATCTAATGAGAAATTTCTTTATCATAACATGTCAATTATAACTAGTCTTACGTGTCTAATTTTTGAAATCATTGCAAATTACCATTATACTAAGTTTTAGGACGGCTTTTACCCGAAATCGCCTATTTCACTACTACGTTGCCCGATTTCTACATTTCTTATCTAATGAGCTATTTCTTTATCATAACATGTCAATTACAACTTGTCTTAGGTGTCTAATGTTTGGAATCATAGAAAATTATCATTATACTTAGTTTTAGGACGACTTTTACCCAAAATCAAATCGCAAAATAATAAAAACAAGTACCTCCTCAATGTGTTGGGCTTCAGTGCACCTATTGATTATGTCATGCATAAACCTCATCACGTATAGGGCACAGTCAACGTCGTTGTCTTGTTGCGCACACTAAAATGACACAAAGTTAAAATAGTCATGCTATGATAAAACTCAAGGCAATTTTATTAAATAAATCAATATATCAAGGCTTTACCTTCGCATCTTTCCACATGGGACCCGCAACCGAACGACAATTCAACTTCTTCATAACACTTCAAAAAAATAAAAAACAAACGATTTAGGAACATAGCCAATCAATCACTTAGGTGATGATACAAAACAAAATATATAAAGCGGTATGTACCTATTCAATAGGTTATTCACTAGCAACTTCCTTGGTGGCCATATACGAGCCGAGTCAAAGTAGTAGATTGTGTTATTGGAAACACAAATCACCATAAGGCTCCAATGTAGACTACATGTATATTAAAGCAAATATCAATCCATCAATTGTTATGCGTCAACATCTATACTTAACAAACAAATTAAGAGTGACATATTTACACTTACTCCTCAAAAAAGGGGCTAATAAGAACTTGTTTCCCGCACGCATTGATTCTCTAATACCCTGCTCAAGGTAATCTATCACATCACGAGGGTTATGCAAGCATTTGGTTACGGAGGTCTGCTCGGGGCATAACCACCCAACTGCTGCTTCACCATCGGGTTTACTAGCAAGGAGCTCCTGTAGTGACCTTCAAGAAAGTAATGTGTGCAAGTAATTACTAGTTGCATTGTTTTGGTACGAAAAATATCAAAAATACAATATGTTTAGAAATAGTCTCGTTAATTTACCTCATGAATGTTTGAATGATGGAAATGTTAAGCATGGAACCGGTTAGAAATTCCGTCACATCCTCTCTAGAAATGTATGCGATCGAATCCTCATCATAGTGGAACAATGCCTTAGGTAATTTCACTTGAATATGTGTACCCGTAGGCAACTCACTAACACGGTTGTGAAGAAAAGTACACGCTTTCGAAAGCGACCTAAGGACTTTGGCTTCTACTAGTGGAGTACATGAAGCTCTCGAACTATTCTTCGACACTTGTCCTTGTTCCATCTTCGGAGGACCTTCTTCTTTGGATTTTTGCTTCTCCGCCTTCTTCCTTTTAGCGGAATGAATTTCCATAGTAATCTAGTAGCATAAAAAAACATGGTCATTGCACAAAGCACATGTTAATCTAGTTACATACAAGTATTGTTTACTATAGAATCGATCCCGACCTAGATGTAAGTCCTCTCTAGGCACCGGTAGTGGTAAGTCCTCAAACCCAGCAACTATAGAATCGATCCCGACCTAGATGTAATGGGTGCTAGTATTAGACTTAAAATGCACCTTGTCAAAAGGTTGTGCACTACCATACCCCACCAACTGCAACTGTCCACCAGTTGTTTCCCCGGGGTGAAGAAGCTCACAAGGCGTCTCTTCCTACATATTTGGTTAGGAGTTAGGACATAAGTTAAGAAATAATAAACGAAAGCCTAACATAAGAAAAGATGATTACGTAGTGAAGTTCACCTTAACATCTGGGAAAGGTTCAGGCATCAGATTTGCTCTCTTCAGTGACTCTGCATCCCCGGGACTTGGATCCTGCAAAAGTAAAATAATTAAACATGAAAACGACCTCATTAGACGAACTTCATATGACGTAATTCGTCCTTGTACTAAAATTACCTCTCTCTCAACTACTGGATAGTCCACGGGGCCTCCTGGGTGACTACATGAGTCTACTGGGGTACTCGTGGGAAATGGCAAAGGCGGCAAGTTCATGTGCTTCAGAATGGCATTGAATTGACTTCGCATCTGTTCTTGCAGCTCCGCGCGTATCTCCGCCTTAATTGATTCCTTTTCCTTCTCATCAATCCGATGTGGTGAATTAACACTTGATTTGCTTTTTGCTGATTTGGTGTATTCTGAACCCATCACCTTCTCCCACCCTAGTTGTTTCCCGCCAAAACTAATTACTCGCCCAGGGTGGTATGGTTTTCCCAAAGCTAAGGTGAAAGGATTATGTTCGATGCTTGGAGTCAGCTTGCCTTCAATCACTTCCGAAGTATGCTCGAGCTTTAACAACACAAAAATTTATCAGATCTTAGTACAATGTACTTGACAAGGAAATATAATTAATAAGTAGAAAAATTTGCTTACAAGTGCATCTGCTACTAATTTCTTATCCGGTTGCATGACATACTTGCCTGTTTTCTTGTCCATCCCATGCATAGCACACCACCAGTCGATTGCACGATTAACCAAAGTTGTGACCGTGGAAGAAAGTGGTTTATCAGTTGATGACATTATGGATTCAGGGTATAGACCCGCTTTGACCCACTTTGGTCTTGACTCCGCAAAGGTCTTACAACCCATATGATGGTTATACTATTTCTTTCCGGCATTGATTCTAGCTTGTTCGCTTTTTTCCTACACATTCAGAAATATATGTTAGCATCAGTCATTGTAAGAAACTAAATATGAGTAACCGACTCTATTGATAAATAAAAACATACAAGTGCGGCCCTAGTGGAAGATTTTTCCACAAACTTCTCCCAATCATCCAACGTTATTTGTGGATATAAATCCCACGGTTTCTTATCAGGTTTCTCTTCTTCTCCATCTGCAGGCACATTTTTCTTTGGTCTTCTCTTTCTTCTCTTATGGATCCATCTCGTCCTCAAGTAACTCTTGAAGTTTTTGAATCTCCCATGTACAAAAGCTTCAAAGACTTTTCTCTTGGCCGGCTCATCAGGAATATGGAACATACTCTGTAATTGGCGCAAACATCCACGTTAGGCAAGAGAAAAAAAAATGAAAAAAAAAATGGAAAAAAATAAAACCCGAGAATTGGGCAAGGCAGCAGCCCAGGCAGCTGCAGCACCCAGGCTGCTGCCCCGGGCAGCTGCAGCACTCAGGCTGCTGCCCAGGCTAGCTGCAGCACCCTGGATGCTGCCCCGGCCAGCTGCAGCACCCAGGCTGCTGCCCAGGGCAGCTGCAACCCTTGGGTTAGGCCAGGGGTTGTTTTTGCAATTTTTTTTTTTTTGAACATATATGAATTTAAAATAAAAGTTTGATTGAAATAAATACTTACCATAGTATCGTCCCAAAAATGTTTGAAGCAACCCGTGAGGTATCTCGGCAAACTCAAGTGTGATTGGTGTTTTACGAGTTACAATGCCAACTTGACTAGAAAATTTGTCGCGCCATTGGCCAGTAGGTAGACCTAACTCATCAAACTCAAGCACCATAGGAACGCCGGGTTTCTTGAAAGCTTTAGTTGCACCCCTACTCCTTCTGTTCACCGGTGGCTTTACCCCTCCTCCACCACCGGTTTTTTTCACTTGCCTTTGCATTTGAGTTTCACAATGTGAATCACCTACAAATTCGGTAACCACATTATCATCAATAGGTGGGGCAGTTTCAGCTATACGCTCAAATTCATCAAGCTTATGTTGGTAGTGGTCATAATCTTGGTCTTCCGGTTCCCCCATATCCGTCTCCTTGTTAACATCATACAACTCGTCACCATCATCATCATCCATATCCTCATCAGAATGAAGGTTCTCATCAGGATCCATGATATGCGCACACCTACAGTAAACAAGCAAAGCATGTTGTTAGTCATCAATAATGGCAATCAATTCTAAGGCACGATGAAAGACAAACACTTACCCAACTTCTTAGGTTTCATAACAAATTCACACATATATAATCCTCTAAACAATTCATATATTTAGTTCATATTACATGCTTATACGTTGAAAATACAAAAAAAAAAAAACACTTCCCGAAATAAACAAAGTTGTTGGAGCATAAGATATTTAGTAAATAAAACATGCATTAATAAAAGTACCTCATTCGTGTATTCCCTCATTGTGGTCAGATCGAATATAAGTAGCATCATCATCTACATCAGTTGCTACATCAAGTGTAGGAGCAGTGAAAGGGGGAGAATCATCAAATGCATCATATTCTTCCTCTTCCTCAACCTCTCCAACCCCTAAAATTCTCCTTTTGCCAGACAAAACGATGGACCATCTTGGATCGGACGAGTCAGTTACATAGAACACTTGCTTAGCTTGAGATGCAAGGATGAATGGTTCAAGACTATCCCGCAAGTGGCCAAGATCTACAAGAGTGAAGCCATCATTTCTCACGTTGCGCCTATTATTATCGACCCATTTACACTTGAATAGACCAACCTTGAAGTCACGGTAATTTAGTTCCCATATTTCCTGAATTCGTCCATAGTATGATAAAAGTGCGTCAACTGGTGATGTATCCTTCGCACTTGCAAACTCTCTTGATGAAGCCACAAGAGTGACACCACTATTTTGAGTCGATGAGGATTTCTGATCCCGACTTTCAGTCCAAAATGTGTACCCATTTATATCATATCCCTCAAATGAATGAACATCTTCCTTTGGACCATAAGCTAGCCACTTTATTGTATCAGACACAGTCTCATCCAATTGACGCATCACACGATCATGGAACCACTTCACAAACATCTTATTATGCAACTGCATTAGTGCTCTTTCCCCTTTTGATGGATATTCAACACGCAAACTATTCATGTGCTCTTCTAAATATGGGCGAACCTCCGCAATATGATGAAGCACAAATAAGTGAGCTTGCATGATTTGATCTCGAGCAGCCCAAATCCTTTTTGACCCGATTGTGCCATGACCATCAAGTCTCCCTTCATGTCGGGATGTAGGAAGCCCAATAGGTTCGGCAACGGCAACATACTCTGCCACGAAATTCCCAATTTCCTCGGACACAATTCCTTGTATCATACTGCCTTCCGGATGGGCTGGATTTCTTACTTTATCTTGCAATGTACCCATGTGTCGTTCAAAAGGGTAGCACCACCTCATAAATACTGGACCGCACAACTTAATCTCACGAACCAAATGCAGAATCAAATGCACCATTATGTCAAAAAGTGAAGGTGGGAAAAACATCTCAAATTTGCACAAAGTTACCACAACAGTCGCCTGGAGAGCATCAAGTGTAAAGGGATCAAGAACTTTGCTGCATATAGTATTGAAAAACCCACAGAGGCTTGTTATAACTTCTCTCACGTGCTTTGGTAAAATTCAACGAAGTGCAATCGGTAGGAAAACTTGCATCATCATGTGACAATCATGGGATTTCATACTTGTCAACTTCAATTCTCCATTTAAGGAAACAAACCTTTTCATGTTTGACGAGAACCCAGAAGGAAACTTAATGTCATACAAACAAGCACAAAACCTCCTGTTTTCTTCCTTTGATAATGTGTAGTAAGCTGGAGGTAAATACACCTTTTGGTTTTTTCCTTTTCCATCACCTTTCTTCTTTGCGATACCCGTGGCCTTGTCCTTGCGCTTCCCCTTACGGTTTTGACCACCATCTTCGTTTCCCTTTTCCTTAACCTTCGCCATCCCTACCTTAGCTTGAACCCACAACTCCGGACGAACACCCCACTCTT